TTTTTTTTTAATTTATTTCGAGAAAGATAGAGACACATTCGCGTGAGAAACGACATTGATATGAGTCTACACCTGTATTGGACCGGAAACGTTGGGTGATCAGGAAGACGCTCGAATAAGGAGTTCCGGCCAAGTAGAGGTGGGCACGACGTCACTGCCTTTGTGAGCAGCTCTTCCAGCTCCATTAGCAAACAAACAGCGTCCGAGCCGTCATTCTCTCCAGGAGGCTCTGTGTCCTGCACACAGGCCGAGGGGCAAGAAGAGGCTGTCTCGGGTCAGGGTTACCATGGTGACAGCGTTACACGATGAAAAGATGGAAAATAGATTCCACTTCATTTATATGCTGTCGTCTCCCAAAGATGACTTAAAGAGCTCTAGGCAGTGGTTGTGTGTGTGTGTGTGTGTTTCAAATATATTTTTATTGATTTCAGAGGTAGAGAGAGATAGAAACATCAATGATGAGAGAGAATCATGGATCGCCTGCCTCCTGCACGCCCCCTACTGAGTATCGAGCCCACAACCCGGCATGTGCCCTGACCGGGAATTGAACCGTGACCTCCTGGTTCATAGGTTGATGCTCAACCACTGAGCCACACCGGCTGGGCTGGGCAATGTTATTTTTAACTTAAAAAAAATTTTATTAAGCTTTAATACAACTAAAATCTACAGAAACGTTGCAGAGAACTCCTCCTCTATTATGCCCTTTGCCCAGACTCACACATCTGCCGTGAGCTTCCCCACCCGTCCCCGCGTTTTCCTCGTGCGTGGACCGTGTTTCCTGAGCCCGCTTTCCCGTGGCGCCGCCCTAGACCCGCCGGCGTGGAGCGCGGGCACCCACATCCCGGAGCGGCTGTAGAGGGAGGCAGGGCGCTCCGGACGAGCGGCGTTAAAAGCGAAGCCATCCTCTCGCTCCTTTATTTCAGATGAGGAGTAACTTCCGACATTACTTCCTCAAGTCCCCGCAGCTGAAACTGCTGTACGACGTCGTCACCTGGGGGGCCACCCAGGTGGCCGTGAGTTACACGGTGGTGCCCTTCGTGCTGCTCTCCGTCAAGCCGTCCTTCGCGTTCTACAGGTGAGTGCTGCTCGGCGGCCCTGTCCCTGGGGGTGGCTCCGCTTCTGAAAGACAGCGCCTCGCTCTGGGGCACGACGGGGAAATGGCACCGTCGCCTCATTTCCTGCGGCTAAATCCACAGTCACTTTAGTCTAAAAGAGTGGTTCTCAACCTTCCGAATGCTGCGACCCTTTAATACAGCTCCTCATGTTGTGGTGACCCCCAATTTCATTGTTACAAATTGAACATAATGAAAGCATAGTGATGAATCACAAAAACAATATGTAATTATAGATGTGTTTTCCGATGGTCTTAGGCGACCCCTGTGAAAGGGTCGTTCGACCCCCAAAGGGTTGAGAACCGCTGGTCTTAAAGCACGCGTCTCCGGATGCTTGGTAGAGCGGTTTCCCCACTCAGCCCTCAGACGAGGCTCTGATTGGAGAACGACCAGCCGGTAACCTCCGGGCTCTCAAAGGGTGACCCAGAAAGTGTCGCTGTTCTTTGCAAGGAATCCTTCCTTCTCTTGTTTCCTTTCATCAAAATGACATAAATTAGTCCTATTCCACTCACCTGCTTTGGTTTCACTCTGTCATGTTTCATCGGCCCCTGGTCATCGCTGTAATGTAGAAATTACTGTCTTGAATTTCATGTTTTATTTCTCTAACTCCTCCCCTTCCTCCCCCCCCTTCCCCATTAGTGAGATCTTTGAGATCAAAACCTTTATTCTTTCATAAATTCTGCATTATCTTGGCATTTAGAACGACAGCACAGAATCCGGGGTCAAAAATGGTTGAATTGGATGTGATGAAAACCATACAGGAAACATTAAGAAACTCCTGCTGCTAAAATTCCATCGTAACAACTTGTTGCATATTTTTGAATGGGATGGAGCTGTTTGAATTTTCGCCTAGTTTTGTGGTTCACAATCCTGTGAACTTATAGCTGTAGAAGGAGGTTATGCCCCATTTTGGCTTATATTTCATTTGGGGAATGAGATTTCTAATAGTTTTGATCACGTGGCATTTCTGTATTTTGTGACAGTAACGTCCGTGTTGCGTGTGTATTACTCACGTCATTAGAATACACGTGGCTCGATTGGGGACAGTAACTAGCGGGAGAGGCCGAGCAGCAGCCGTCTGCACTGGCCCTGCCTCCTCTGCCCCCTGAGCACTGGGTCCTGTGGGCCTGAGATTCCTGGGTCTACTTAGCCATGGCCTCCGACCCTCACAAAGGAATGTAACAAGGTGACTAGGCTCACACTTACAGTCCGCGTGGCTTTCTGCGGAGCTTTATAAATACCCCGCACACGCTGCGGGGTGCCACTCAGGGTGGGGGCGGGGAGGGTAAGAGGACAGCGTGGTCGGCAAACACATGCGGGAGGCAGGTGGCATTTGGACAAATGTGCAGTTATGACAGACGGCTCATGATCACATGTTTCATCACCGCTTCCCCTTTTCTTTTAGCTCCTGGAGTTACTGCCTTCACATCGCCGGCCTCTTAGTATTGTTGTTCTTACCCGTGAAAAAGACCCAGAGAGGACAGGACCCACACGAACACAGGCGGCTGTCGCGATCCAAAAAGTCTGACGAAAATTCTTGGGGACAGAATAGTTTTCCCACAACAACAAACAATGTGTGCAATCAGGGTCCAGCAGGAGCCGCCAGACACCCATCGGGAACGGAGTGACGGGAACCCGGGGGCTGTGTTCTGTATGTTAACAGCCACCGATCTTAGCACCTTCTCCAGGGGGTGGGGTTCGTTGGAAAAGAGAGTAAGTTGGGGGTGTGGGGGGGCGGGGGGGAGAATCGGACAGTTGCTGATAGGGAAGTCCCTGTGTACTCGATGGGAAACGGAGTGATACTCCCCCTCCCTTGCCATGTTCCCGTGGGCCACGCCTTACAGAAGGTATGTCCATGGTCTCTGTGGACACTCAGGACCTCGGCGTCTGGCCGCAGGGTCCCCCGGGTGCCCTGTTGCTGAATGTACGCTGTGCGCCCCGAGGCCGCGGCGAGGTGGGGACATAACGGTGTCCGTCTGGCCGATGGAGGGAAATTAGCTTTTCCAAATGAATGTCTTGCCTTAAACCCTCTCTTCCCTCAAATGTCGTTCCTAAATGGTCTTTTCAACTGTAACATTGTGAGAACTCGATTTCAATATTCGATGTGAAATGAGCTGTGAAGGAATTCTGGGGAAATTGGAAACAGGATATTTAAGATTGTGGATATTTTAAAAATGCAATAAACGCCTCAGTATTTGAAGGGTTTTCTTAGCGCATCTCCAGTGACTACAGTGCATAGTGACTTTGTGAACAGCTCGGATGGCCAAGCTGTAGGAAGCTCATTTCCCTGGGGAGTTTCATTACCTCGTGTCTGTCAGCGAGCCCTTCAAAGAGGAATTTCTTAGACATAATTAAAGACCGGTAATGCGATAGTTTAAGCTTATCTTCTGGCAAAAGAGAGAGGAGATGACGGGGGAAGGCAGGCGTGAGTGAAGGCCGCACTGTGTGGCCGGGGCTGGGGCCGGGCGGCGGCAGGAGGCCCAGGTCCTCGGCAGGTTCCAGGTGCTCAGCAGAAGTGCTTTTTCCTTACCCATCTGAACTTCTGCGATACGTAAACATTTAATCACTTTTTAGTGCGTTGGACTCTTAGAAGAAATTTACCAAGCATAAATTCTATCTATATTATAGAAGGCCCGTGGCCGCAACGCCATGATGCCCAAACGACTGGTCACCAGGAGGTGCATGGAGCACTTCTCGGGCCATCCCCCTCCCCCCACCCCACCCCCCTCCATCCCCACCCCCACCCCGGGGCTCCAGCAGCGTCCGAGGAGCGTCGTGGGGCAGCAGACATGGCCCTGATGGCAGGCTAGGCCTGGGAACCCTACATGCGCACGATTTAATCGTGTGCTGGGCCTCTAGTAGGTCTATAAAAGGATTATGGAAATAATAGTGGTAGATTGCTCCAAGGGTTTGAAAGAGAGATCACTGAGTGAGGCTCTCTCTGGCCATGCACTCCCTCCTCTGTGACTGTTTAATTTATATTTGGGAGAGTTTTAGGGAAATGAAAACTTAATACCATTGGGTCTGAGCCACATTTTTAGAGAATAATATAAAGTCTTTTCCAAATCCCTAACTTCTCATATTAAAATGTTGCTGTAATGCTTGTTAATGAGTTTTCCATTCTGTAAGTGGAAAGGTGTGCTTTTAGCTCCTGGGCCCCGAGTCTCTCCCCGAATCCCAGCCTTGTGCTTCGAAAGGGGGGCGGCGGGGGGGACAAGGTGTCCACCTGGCTCAGGGCCTCGGCGGTGGACCCCACACAGGGCTGGGTGCCAGGCGGGCGGGGGGGCCTTCGCACGGCACCTCTGACCAATCTCTTGTGGAATTTATTTTCTTTTTGCCTTAAATTATTTAATGAAATGCAAGTTATCTATGGCGGGTCTCTTTTTTATTTTTGTCATTAGTGACTTCAAATGACGTTAAGAACAGAACAGCCATGTGGCTTCAGCGACATAGTATTTCATTGAAAGAAGACAGGGAGAGCAATGCACCTGGGACCTTTGAGGTCTTAATCAGCAAAAATACCACTGTGTCTTTTCAGAACTTCGGAAATATCCGAGTGTTTGTGTGAAATGTGTTCATTTTTCTGAAGGTAAATGTTCCCCCCTGGTGAGGTTAGCCCTGCGCTGTCGCCTCCCAGGAAAGAGTAGGTGGCGGAGTCCCTTCTCTCCGTTTCCCCCTGCGTGGCATCGAGCCGGCTGTGCAATGTGAGAGGAGAGGCGAGAATCATCACGGGCAGTACCTGCCCCCACTCTCTCCGTGGTCTAAGTTAATGCTGCCGGGAGCCTGGCCTCGAGGAAGAGAAAGTAAACAAGTCTGGAGTTTAGGAGACAAGTGTAGGCATGCCCGAGAATAAAACTCCTTTTGTTCAGCCTGCCCGGCCCTTTCCAGACAGTCACCGTGTGTTCCTGTTGCCGGACTGTTTTATATTTGGCCGTGAGCCTCGAGCCCTGTTACTCCTGCTCTGAGTGTAATCATAGCGCCACCCCCGGGGCAGCAAGGTGGTTGATGGATTTTCCCATCCCGTTGGAGATAAACAGACTGATTCCCACGCCCCAAGGCCCACTAGTTGTTGTTCTTTGGTGGGAAATGGCTCAGTGGGTAGCTTTTCTCATTTTGGAGCCATGTATTGATTTTATTCTTTTCCCATTAAATTGATCGGAGTTAATTTTGGAGAAATTACCATCACAAATACGTAATCCAGAAGAACCACGGGAGAAAGAATTCGGATTCTCCAGGTGACTTCTCCCCCAGGAGGGACCCCTGTGCTCTGTAAGGCGCAGTGCCCGTGGGGAGCGTGCAGGGACCCGCCCCGCTCCTTCCGTCTCCACCAGCGAGTCCGCAGTGGGCGTGGGAGTGATGCGCCGCGCGGGGCCGGCTTCCTTAGGAACCACAGACTCGGAGTCAGTGCGCATTCACACTCTCTCCACCTTCCGTTGACACGAGACCACTCCAGAGGTGACCCCTCAGTGTTGTGTTTGTGCTTTTGTTGGTGATTATGCGACTCAGGGACAAATGAGCGGAAGTAATTCTCTCTCTCATTTTCTTGGACAGTTAGTCATCTTCACTCGATGTCTCTCCGCTTTACGAGCGGCTTCCTCTCGGTGTTTAACAGAAGCATTTTCATCGGAACGTGGGGTCGTTGGGGAAATTCCTTTCACTCCTAAAATGTCCCGCACGGTAGAGGTTTGTGTGGTTTCCCACCCGCACGGCCACCACCTGGCCGCCGCCACGCTTCGGGGTGGAAAGCGTTGTTGTGGCTGATCCCCGCCACGCGTGGCCGTCACGTACGGGCTCCCCCAGATGCTAGTTTTGAGAAGAATCTGCAGTGAGAAGGGTGGTTCTGGAGGCGAAGGTGGCTCCCACTGAAGCCCCGACGGCCTTGGGGAGGCCTGGGCCTTCTGGGGCTCAGTGTGAAGGAGCCCGTGGCTCGGTCCTAGAGCTGCGGCCAGTGTGTGTGTAAGAATGGCGGCCTGAGCAGATCCGTCAGCCACGGGCGAGGGCGGGCTCTCCTGGTCACGCACTTGGGTTATGGTGCTCGGAGGCCCGGCTCTCCAGAGGCCATCAGGGGCAGCGGAGGGAAGCCGCTCAGCCCGTTCAGCCAGGACGCACACCGTCCTCACCGAGCCGGCCCGACAAGGAGCCTTCAGATGGGACAGTCTCTCCGAAGAGCGTGTTCCCTTTCGCTGTCTCTGCCTTTCGTGTGTTTGTTTCTGTTCGTGCTGTTGAAGAGAGATGCTGAAACCATTTTATGCGCATTACCCACCTCACTGGGTGTACCGCTCTGCGGCTTCTCAGATATCATTTCGTTCAAAGAGATTTAAAACATGTAATTTGGGTTCTACCTTATTTTAAACGACGGGGAAATTAGAGTGTTTGCCATTAAAATAATTGCAGAATCTATACTTTAATTCGAGGGCTGGCTTGCACGTAGGACATACATTTTTCCTGTTTAAAATTTTGAATATTTGTGAACAACTCTGGGTATTTATACGTTGTTGTGTGTTTCTTTATCACAAACCGTTCAGAAGGATTCGCCCATTGGTTGTGAGAGTTCCACGTTTTAATCGGGAGAAACCATCACTTGAGGGAATACTTCCGAACGGTGCCTGCCGTTGCTGTCAGCCAGGGCCCCGTCCAGAGCTCTAGGTGTAGACCAGCGTGTTGCGGGGTTTCAGCAGCCGCGACTCGCCCGTCCGAAGGGGAAGACATCAGACTTAGCGTACGTGCAGCATCCCCAGTGTCACCGTGAAATGGGGTCTTCCCAGCCCTCTGTGCCCAGCGGCCGGCCGGCTGCACCCTGAGCTGAGGTGCTGGGGGGTCTGCTCTGCAGCCTCGCCTCGAAATGCAGGGTCCTGTAGCTGAAGGGAAAGGTTTGCCTCTGAAAGGAGAAATCCCACTCAGATGTGCATTTGAAAGCTGAGACTGTAGGGAGTGTCCCCAGCGTTTGTCTGCAGCCCCTGCTCTCAATCTCCCTGCAGTCGCTGTTAGGGAAGGGGAGGCAGAGTGCAATTCCCCTGTTGGCTCTGCGGGAAGGCCCTGCCATCAGCGAGGCAGGAAGCTGCGCGGCTCCCGTAGGAGGAGGCAGCCGGCTCCATTGTGACGGCCGGGCCGCTCGACAAGGTTTCCACCTGCTTTAAAGCGCCACTGATTTTAGTCGGTTTTAACGCCCGGCAGACCGCAGTGACGAGCTGAGGCGCTCTCGGCCACGCACTGGGCAGGCTTCCTCACCCAGAGCCTGAGACACCTGTTCATGCTGTCTGTCTGTCTCGCCTGTAGCACTGTCTTCTGTTCATACACCTTTTATACCGCAGAGGAGCAACCCAAACACGCCCCTGGCCTGTGTTCTATAAATACTGGTGAGAAGACCCAGGCTAAACCACGGTCTCAGCTCACGCCGTGACGCACGGCCACCCGCAGGCGTGTTTGTCAGATGCTGCTGCTGTGGGAAGACAGGGACGTGTAATGAGAGACCGAACGCTACAGAGTGGCGGCAGCAGGATGACTCAGGCTCCCGGAGTGGGGCGCTGGGGATGGAAACGGCGCCGGCCGCCTTCTCCCGGAGGCCCCGTGACCTGCCCCCGCTCTCTGTTCTGGGCTCACTCCTTTGAGAAATTGATGTGTTGATGTTCCTTTTTGTCCCTTCCTGTTAGAGGATAAACATGTAAAAAGTCTCCCAGGCCTTTGCAATATGCCTCTGTCCCCATTTTCTGTGTTTCTGGTTCTGTACATGCGGACTTGTCAGGGACGTGCATTCGCTCCTGACTTGGTCCGGTGGGGAAAGGAATCGAGCATCCGACACGGACGTGACCCGGACGAGGCTTCTCCACCCGCCACCTGTGTGCGCCGGCCTCTCGGAACCAGAGGGACAGACACAGGCCACGGGAAGGAGCGTGAACGCGGTTCCGGTGGAACAGGAGCGGCCCCGGGGCACAGAGGGAGGCGTGCGACTTCATTCCTGCCTTCACGAGCCGACGTGACCTTCGCTAGGCGTACTTGACCTTGACCCTTGCTCCTCGGACAGGAGGCTCCAGCGCCAGCAGCCGGGCTGGGCAGGACTCCTGTGCCTTCCCTGCGTGAGCCCGGGGCGTGGTGTTCTGTGCTTTCTGTTTTTACGATTCCAGAACATGTTTTTAAAGAAGTGCTACTTGTCAACAGCTCCGTACGTAGCTCTCGTGTGCCGCTGGGTCCGGTGCCCTGTTTCGTGG